TACAAGAGGTGTTCAACCATACTCACTCACTCACTCACTGAATATGGTAGGCTGTCCTGAAGCCCCTGTTCAGTTCCCAACAACACAACATGAACTACATTCATGGCCGACATTATCATCATATTTCTGGGTTCAAGACACTTGCAGTGTTGATAATGATTCGATGCATATTCTTATATGCAAGGGGGAAGTATAGGGTCCTTGGTTGGAAGAGACAACACCAATTGGATAGATCGTAGTGTACACAAGTTTGATTTATACAAATCAAATTTATACAAGAAGCACATAAAGGTTGGGTTGTTTTGTTGGTGCACTGGAACGCCTAGCCTATCCCTAGTTCAGATAAGGGTAAGATATTCCCTTGTAGTTAACAACAATATATATGAGACCTAGTTGCACAGATTGGCTTAAAGTTTATGTGCAATGAAATGGCAATAAGCATAAAATATTGATGTGAAAATATTAATGGAATCTACACATGTTTATGTCCTAGCAACATGTTGTTCAACGTTTAGAATTAAATGTTCATTTGGACAATCATTGTCCTGAATCAGCAGCTTTGAAAATAATGCTAGTTTCATACCTGTAGTGTCATTTAGATTGCACAACGATATGTGTGTCTTTTCCTTTGATGTTTATATTCAACATATTCATTTCACAAAAAGAATATAGTTGGACTGTAGACATGTTATTCACGTAACACTTAGCAAAGGGAGCTGTGACTTACATACATCTTTCAAAGTCTCTTTAACAGTTTAAGGGGAAGTAAAGGTAACTATTGTCTAGTTGTGGTGATTATTGTACATTACTGCCCCTTATCCGTGTGGTATGGACTCGTATACCACAGACCAAGAAGCACAGATGGCAGTTATACTATTGCATAAGTATTGGTGAAGTATTGATTGATGGTGGTGTTTCTAGCCTGTGCCATTCATGTTTGGCTAGTACTTACCATATTGAATTGGCTCAAAGCGCATATAATGATAGATATTAATTTATGTTACATTGAAATGAAAGTTTGACATGCTGTTAATATAGGTACGATAACATATATCAGGGATGTATCTAAGAATCTTGACTATACACATGAGAATTATTTAACCACCAACTGAATCCCAGGACAAGTTTTATCATATTGTTCCACACAGATGATCATACCCTGGGATAATGGAGTGCACATGCAAAACATTTACTTCCGACAATATCTCAAAAGCTATGAGTTGCATGTTCATGAGCTATGAAGACAGGCACCTTGGGGAATAAATATACAGTTACAGAGTGCTGTTTTCTGAACTGATTTTACTACTAAAAATAACCTTTGTTTTACATGTCAAGACATAGGCTTACAGTAAGAGTGGTCATCATTAGAGCTGTGACAATATATTGTAGTATCGATAATCGTGATACTTTATCTGACGATAAATATATCGATACGTTTTTTCGTATCGTGATATGTATCGTTGACCTTAAAATTATAAATTTTCACTAGATATTGATGGTTATGTCAAAATTTCTTGCTATTAAAATCTGATTTTATTAAGGAAAATATCTAAAGAAAGCATATTGTGATATGCATCGAATCGAATCATATCGTTCCAAGATATCGCGATACGTATCGTATCGTGAAATTTCTGTATCGTCACACCTCTAGTCATCATCTAGTCTGACATAAGTTTAGCACAGCAGTGTACTGGTGTAATCTGTAAACAAGTCTTTCCCCCAAAAAATCTGATTTCATCAAATTTCATTTCATATCTTGAATATCAAATCATGAGAAACCATTTCATGAATATTGTGAAAAATGTTTGTTGTGCATACGAATGAAGGGAAATGCTTGTCATTTTCACATTTTCAATTCATTGTCACGTGCGCTGCAGGTTCGTATTTTATCTATAAATATTCTAATAAAGTTCTAATAAGTAATGTGACATATCACCAGTGAAGTGGGCAGGGATTGTTTTCAATGTGGATCAAGCATTGATATGGCTAGTCATTTTTTGTTTGTTGTTTAACACTGCACTCAGTAATATTCCAGCTGTATGATAGCAGTCTGTTGATAATAGCCCTGACCAGACAATCCAGTGATCAACATCATGAGCATCGGTCACAGTTTGGATTTGATGACATGTGTCAACCAAGTCAGCAAGCCTGACCACCTGATCCTGTTAAGTCAACTGTTATGACAAATATGGGTTGCTGTAGACCAATCACTAAAGAAAGACAGACAAAATGTATAAATTTCTCCAAGCTTTCCATTGGAGTTGAACTTGCAACCATGTCAGAATGATGAAATAATAACTGGTAAAACCCCTAGTAAAACATTTATACATGTATACAAGTTCTTGTCTTGCCTTTGTCTGTGTTCCAAAATGTAGAACATGTGACTTAATTCAAACAGAAAGAATGTGTGTAGTCTGACTGTAGCCTGCATTTCAGCTAAGCTGTTAACTTATATAATCAAGGAAATTTCTCTTTTATTGTTATAATTTACTCATGTAGATGCAATATTTTATGATCCTCAGTGTATGGCAGTTTTAAGTCAATATAAGTGATTTCCCTCGGTAATCATTCTAATTTTCTTCCAAATATTTCCTGATTTTTAACAAGAAGAGTAATGTCTGTTATTTATTGTGTGTGACATTATGTTGCAAGAGGAAGGATGTAAGTATATTGTTAATGGTGTAGATATAGCTCATAGACTATATAGTTCATGTCTTCCTTGTAGATAAGCTAAACCAGTTATACCACACCCTTCCATGCATGTCCTGCTACTTAGTGTAACATAGTGGTGGTAGGGAGATGGCTGACAGTACAGGCCAGGATGCAGGGTCAGCAGTAGGTGTGCCACTTGTTGACATAGCTGATAATACACAGTCTGTCACCTTGCATGTAGTTACTCAAGGTATGAAACTCGCAGACATTTCAGCCAGATCACAGGGCTGGTTAGATGTAAAACTTGCTAGCCCTTACCAAAACTTACCTGCCCGTAAATAATTTAGGTTTGACAAGCGACATAGTTTATCATCCAATTTGAATTAATCATTTATTTTTATGAGTGACTTAATAATTATTTATTGTTCTGGAAATATGATAAATATCTACACATACATGTCTAAATTTTAACCCGACCGTCGGGCAGGTGAATTTGAGAATTTGGCAGTCCGTGTTGAAAATAACCTATCCGGGCGGTCGGGCAGGCAGGTATTTCGAACGCTGAGATACTCCTTCAAATGTAGCTCATTATTATATAGCTCTTCATGATTTCAGCCTGTGACTCACAAGACTGGGTGGTCACAATTGATGACTTAGTTGCTATGTTATATTGTGTCCCAATTGTGTACATCAATTGTTCATCATTTAATCTCTGGATTATCCGGTCCAGAATTGATTATTTACCGACTGCTGCCATATAGCTGCAGTACATCAGAGTGCAGCATCAAACAACAGCCAAACAAATATAACCTTAAATACTGTAATGGAGTTTGACAGGCATCTTCCCTTGGGTTTCCAGGACATTTAAATCAGATTCCTGTTCAGACTGACATGTAGTTGTCCTATTTCCACACCACACGTAATGGTTCCAGTTCAATGTGTCAGAGTGACATTGTTAAATGTACCTTGTTTCTCACATCCTCACAGGGGTGGAAATAACCCATTGCCCGACGCCCGAGTCCAGTGTTTTTTTCTGTTGGGCAAGCAAATTTGTATATCACACTGTACCGGTGTCCAGTTGACTTTCCAATATTAATTATGTTGTTTATTTAAAAAATCAACAAGAAAACGGCCGGTATGGTGGAAAAATTATCAGAGCAAGTGATTTTACATGTGCCACTGTTCCGGAGTACACTAACAATTTTAAAGTTATTTCCACCCCTGCCTCATAAGAATGTGTAGAAGGAACTGTTGACACTCCCCTTCAGTGGGAAAACAAGATTTTATGGATGTCAACTTCTTTATTGTGAATAACACGACGTTTCGGAGTGCATGCTTGCTCCTCCATCAGGTTCATCATTAACCTTATGAAGGAGCACGCATACACTCCGAAACGTCATGTTATTCACAATAAAGAAGTTGACATCCATAAAATCTTGCTTTTCCTATGTATTCCACTTCTAAATGCCCTTCAAAGATTTGACTCCCCTTCAGTCTTCTTTGTTTTTGTATCAGTAATGATGTAACACTTCTATCTACTGTATGATTTGATTTGAACAAAACAGCATTGGTAGTAACTGAAAAAGGTTGTTGTTGATTTTAATATTTATAATGCTTTAATTCTCACTTATTGTTATTTTACTGATAAAGGTTGGGATCACAATCAGGATCATTTCATGAACAATTTGTTGAATTATTTCATTCACTTGAAGAAGGGGCAAGGATAAGCCCAGAAACATTGTGCATACAGTAAAGAAGTTGACATCCATAATATTTTGTCTTGTACTTGAATACCAACTTCTATATGCCTCTCAAGAACCTCAATAGTCTAAGCCTTCATATGGATGACGAGAACTTTTGTTTATCATTACAGTCTTAATACAACAGGTATTTGTATACTCTTGTATGGCAATCCCATCAGTTTTGTATTCACCCTCCTCCACAAGCAGGTGGACAGACAATTAATTTGTTACCATGTTGCATATCTTTGCACATCATTCTGTTCAAGGTCAGAGAGTGAGCAGGGAATATAGATGACTTTGCCTTTTGTTGTTATCATGATTATATAGACTTATTTTGACCTGCTGAGAGGCCAATTTTCAGCCTCTCTGTAGAAAATGAAAGTTTAAATGCCCAATTTGAATTTGAATTCATGAATTGGTCAGAATATACGAAATATGTACATTTAAGGGAACAACAATATTTTTTTTATATCATATTTTACCCTATTTGCCAGCCAGGAGCACTTTGTTTGAAATCCTAAATAGATCTCAGATATTAAGAGTCATTAATCATGTTCAAATGATTTTGTAGAATATGAATTAATGATTGCTTTTCTGTACTTACAGGTGAATTACCTCCCTTGATCCAAGATGGCTAATTGTGGGTGGCTGTGGAGTTTCATCTGGTTCATCATCCTGATTGTCTTTGGCTGGCCAATTGGATTCTTCTGTGCCGTCTTCTATGTTCTGCTTAGTCCCTGTGCAGCCTGCTGTTCTGGATGTGTAGAACTTATAAATTTATTAGAGAGAGGTGTCAAACTACCCCTCACATGCGCACAGAACATGGTCAGTGGGAAGTCCATGTGTTAGTCTGGAGATCCAGGGCATAATGTGGCAATTTGTAGAAGGATGCTCACATCTGTAGTCAAATGAATTCCATCAACACAACAAGACAGTCCAAACAACAGACCAACACTGACCTCGCAATCATCAACAATGTCATCTCAGCCTGATGAATCAGTGAAGGAAGGATTAGCAATTTGACCGGACGGACCACCCAACTACAACCTTAGTGAATGTTAGTCATCAGTGTAGTCGAAGATCCACAATACCTATATGAATCGCTGTTGTAGCTCCTGTTGGTTATAGATTTATATGTCCTGCATGTTGAGCAGCTGGAGAATACTGGTCGTGTAATCAGCTGATTTCAGGATTCCCAAGGAAGAGGATTGTTATCTAGTGTTCGTTAGTTTGAGGGATGTAATTTTAACTTACTTTTATTGACTATAACAATAACCTTGTATGATTTAGAGATTGAATATGATTTTAAAATGTACTCATCTGAAACTTATGGTGTGCTTCCCAATGAGATTGAATATGATTTTAAAATGTACTAATCTGAAAGTTATGGTGTGCTTCCCAGTGAGGGTCACACTTTAGGTGCCTGCTTCAGTTTAGACACTAAGGGAGATAACTTTTGTCACTCTTGCTGGAGAAGGTTTGGGATTTTATGCATATTATTGGATGGGAACTCAGGTTATGTTGGGTGAGAGATTCCTAGCCAATCAGGGTCTTTCATTAAGTTCTGTCATCCATAAATAATTGATATTCAGTGTTACACACACTCATGTCAGGCACAGCTTGAATTATGACCAATAATCAGGAACCTTTGTTATGTTGAACGGCCATAAATATGTACAGTCTATTTTCTTCATGCCTGTTTGCAATATTCCATATACCTGTGCCTTTAAAATGAAATAAGGATTGTTTCAGCCATACATTTATGCATTTAGTAAATTGAATTAGTTTTGATATTAATGGTGCTAAATTATTTCTCTAAATATGTTACTGTTTCATCGTTACAGAACTGTGTCAACAATAAACAAGTCTTTCAAATCTTAAATTTTTCCCCAATTCAGTGGTAACATGCCTCACCTCAGACAGTGTTGCAGAAGACTAGTTGTTACATTGTTAGTGTAAAGTACTTGCATTGCTGATGTGAACTTAACTCTGCCACAATAGCAATGACCATTATTCATTATGTATGCATATATCCCGGCCCACGATATGATACAGATTGTTATACACTGGCAACAGAAAAGAATTAGTTATAATTCTTTAACTCACTTGAGACTTCCTATGGCGGGGTCAGTGGCCGTGCCATGAATTGCTTGCCCATTTATTGACTGTGGGAAAATCATGGTGTGGTTGGCCATCCAATAAAACATTCGTAACTACTCGCCTCTTTCCGTGACCTACAAGAAGACTTGTACCCCTATCGTACACCATAATTGCCAAGAATCGTGGCAAACCAATCAAATCGTGTGTAGTAGAATGCATGGAAATGGCGGCACCGTTGAACTTTGAAACTTCTCTAAAATATGCAATGCACAATTTAAACATAAACTTTGAGCTTAAAGATCAGCAACTATAAACACTGAAACATATTTACAAAGGGAATGACTGCATTGCCCTACAGGATATAAGATATTCTAGGAGCCATGTTTGGAAATTCAGAGTTATCTTTCCTTGGTTATAGTACTAGACTATTTTCATGCTCGTTTGCGCTTAGACAGGGCCGAGTCGTAATCATGGCCACGAGAGGGGTCGAGATGACATCCAGCTTGCCGGAATGACACAAGTAGTTACGAATGTCCAATATAACTGACATCCAAACGGACAGCAACAATCGGGAATATTCAGGATTAGCATTGTGTGTCATGATGTGAACAGTGGCAATCTCGTATCATGTCGTGAGTCAAGGATCATTGCATTAGTGACCCATTCCACCACTTGTACTTTCACACAAGGATGTATGTTTAATTGTCTAGTGTAATAGTTTTACACATCGCTGCAGTTTCTATAAAAGAGGGCTACCCTGACATAATTGGTGATCATATTTCATTGTATGTTTGAAATCATTTATTGACTCAATTGTATTTTTTTTCACCTGTATTATAAAACAAGCTGACATTTTTCACTGCTGATTGTGTTCATGTTAGTTGCTCAATGCACATTTAGATGAATATATCTTGAACATTTCAACATTTTCCAATGTGAAAATAACATGTCAAGGATCATATAAATTTTAAGACACTATAACTTTAACGTGAATTTTCCATTTATGTTTTTAAGGTACCATATTAACTCACAAGCAAAATGTATATCTTATCAGCTAGGTCCTTGTGCTCTGAAATTGCTGTGCAATTCATTATTTAACCATTTCCTCACCTGGTGTTGGGAATTCTTGTCAAGCTCACATTGCATGTGGACAGACATAAATATGGTTGGTTTATGAAACATTGTAAACCAAAAGCCACTGTGTTCTTTAATCTGAATGGTTGAAATACGTGATCAAATGGTATTAGATTCCCGGAATTTCACTGCGTATTAATACATACAAACTTCGCTCACACCATTGTATTGTTACGTCGTCAGCTGTGATGACGTCATTAAAATCATATTGTGACGTAAAGTCCAAATGACGTCACAAATGAGCAGTTCCAGATGCTACCATGGGAGATGGCCGAAACGGCCGTCTGATGACATTTCACTGCTGTACCCGTACTCGATGTCAATGAGTGCAGACACAAAAACGTGTGTGGACCTTCTAGTTTACTTTTGTGTTTACAATGTCGATAAACATCATGTCTTGGCCAATTTCCGGGTGTTATTGAGTATTTGAAGCACAGGAATATTTCATTTGAAACCTCCGGCTGACGCCGTCGGTTCCAAATGAATTCCCGTGCTTCAAATACTCAATAATACCCGGAGATTGGCCAACACATGATGTTTATCTCCTAAATGAAACCTTCCATAATCTGATCACGAAGAATAATGTCCTGTATTGCTGGCGGTTGTATGAAAGTGCACTTATTCCAGCATATCAGTCAAAATCTCTTTTGTTATTCAGACTTCAGGAGATTGAACATAAATTAATTGTATCAAGATACACTTGTCTTGTATCAGCCTTAACGATAAGTATCCAAGATTGGTTAATGTTCCCAAACAGCCACAGGAAAACACATATGAGATTAAGACGCACTGCTTCTCCTTTATGTATTTGTTTTGCTGTCCTATGAGTTACTCAGGCTGAAGCTACTTGCACTAGTTACCACACCTGCCACAAATATTGCAGCTCTTCGCCCAGCTTATGTGAAATCTCAGCAGAAAACTACTAATTTTCTGTACAATATGTGATTATTTTAACTGATTTATCCAGTGATTCTGTGCTTTTACACCATTTTTTTTTAATTGATATTGTGCGTAATCTGTCTTCATATTTATACTGCTTCAAATAAAATCATTTATCGCATCCTGTTTTGCATTTTTGTACTTGTACAGGAAAAACATAATTTCCAGACCAACATTCAATAGCACCAACATGTCTGATGCTCACTCTGCATTCATCACTGACAACGCACACCCTGGATCAAGCTGATCATATGTCTCTGCTGATGAGACAGTGGTTCATGTCAAGGAAAGACTACACTGACAACGCACACCCTGCATCAAGCTGATCACATATCGCTGCTGATGAGACAGTGGTTCATGTCAAGGAAAGACTACACTGACAACGCACACCATGCATCAAGCTGATCACATATCGCTGCTGACGAGACAGTGGTTCATGTCAAAGAAAGACTAAACAACAAAATAGGATCAGAATAGGATATTTTATTTCCTCCCAGAACTTAAAATGTTTAGTTTTAAAAGTTTCTGGAATGACAAACTATTACATTACTACACACATAATCTCAACAAACATGACATGAAGTCTTCAACAAATTTGGCATGTACAAGTCATACATAGCAAACAGCATTTGAGGTAAAGCTCTTTTTACAGCATTAAGTTTAACAGATGTCTGTCAAACGATTTCAATAAATTCAAGGTTAAACAACATGGACTTAGGAATACTTGATATGGAGGACAAATATGAACTATTTCCAACTTTATGTTTGTGACCCCATGTTGCCACACACTGACAGCTTGACATTTACTGCTCAAAATAACTTAAGGACCACGGGATTTTGTCCTATTCATATAGTTAATCTGTCTCAGCAGGGCTCCGTTCCTCAAAGCGAGTTTCGCTACGTCAGTCTTAAGTCTATGTTAAAGTATGGGAGTTACGAGTTGTAGCGCTACGATCGCTTTGAGGAACAGGGCCCAGGACAGTAGCAGTCAGGGCCAATCAAGATTAAAGACACATTGATTTTCATACGCTACAAATGATGTACACAATACTTTACTTCTTGCATTGTATTATTTGACTTTTGGAAGTATAAAATCCAATTCTTTGCACTATAACATATATATATATATATTTAAAATGTGTGTCCAGAGAAGTGTTTTATACAGTAGAGCAATATATTTCACTAACTTTTGATTCTGTGTAATGTTTAAAAGCATTTGTAGAGTTTATAGATCAAATCGGCCATTCAGGATTACATGTGTGCACTGCACTTAAAGGACATCCCACAAGTATATTGCACAAGCTAAAACAAAAACCTTGTCTTCAAGAAAGTCTACATATATTTAATGACAACGAACAGATTAAGCCTGACTTAACCCGTGGCTTAACAATACCTGTGCTGCTTAGATCCTATAGAAGTTATTTGTTCTCATAGCTTGCTGTGACATTGATCTTGCAGTAAGAACAGTATCAGTGGAACAAAGTGAGACTATTTGCTTAGTTTGGTTACAGTAAACATTGAAAAATCAGGTTAAGTTGCCTTTGCATGACCCTTAACTCAACCTTCCGTAAGCATAGGGAATTAAGATTAATATCTGGAATTGTACTTTGAAGGTGTCACGATAATATCTCAGATTTAAACAGGAAAGAGCCAAAATATATGATAAACATGAATATAACAGTATACTTAGAAAGGACAGACTCAGAAACAGATAGGAATGGAGTTGAATATGTTGTGATGAGAGACAATTTTAAATCAGTGTTCTGTACACAGAGGCTAGGTGTATACCTAGCAGTGATGGACTGTAAGGTGGTGTCGTATGAATGTTAAGACAATGCATGACATGAAAGTATGAAGGTGAACGTATACCACTCACAAGAAGTTAAAGAACAACAATACTTCTATGTGATTACAGTGAATCTGTCATGACCACGATAGCTAACTATAGCCCACTGAAAGTATTGGCGGTCTTTAACTTCTGGGTAGTATATGTATGATGTGCATGCTCGATGTGACGATGAATAACTCCAGGTGATGTGCATGACCGACAGTAGATGATGATCTATGTTAGCACTTGTGAGGTAAACTGCCAGAGTTGCTCTGTGACCAGCCAGCTGTAGTGTTACTTGATGACGTTTCTGAGGGATGAGCTGAGATCCTGTATCTAGGTCTTGATCCCCCGTCTCTGCATCTGACTACTGAACTTCTTATTGGCTCTGTGTTGTGCCATGGCTGCTCGTCTGTCGTCTCTAGCAGAAGAGATATAGGTTACAATCTGTTACCAGCAGAATAACAATAACATACTCACTAACTATCCTATATAAATTCGATAGTTGTAGCTCTATCACAAGGAGTAGATCTTGTCTTCGTCAGGCTGTGTTTGTTCATTACCATGAGCATGGAGGTAAAACAATAAATTAAATTCATGCCATATTCTTTGTATACTTTAAACAACTACTCCATAACTGAGACTAAAACATACTGGGCATGTTCAGGCTGGAAAAACAGCTTCAGCCTAGGTTAGGCAGTCACTTCCTCCACAACATAACATTAGCCTGATTAGGCAGACACTTACATACAATGTAACTGCACTGGTACTACACACCTCCTTTTACATGCAATTAGGTACACACACCTAACACACATCCCTATGTAGGATGGTTGTCGAAGGTGTCGCAATGTTCTCGGCATGCCAGGAACCTTTGTGGGTTGAAATCCTGGTTCGCTCTGATTACATTCTAGATTTGTTAGGACCATACCTGTTAGCAATGGTATCACCAAAGCTGTATACGTCAACACCTCCATCACTTCAAGCTTTGCTCCCACATATTATGACTCGAATACTTATGAAAATTGGGTACAAACCAACTCACTCACTCTTTACACACAATCATGTACAAAAGATACACACACTTGGCACCCCCTGTATAAAGACCCTGTAGATAAGATGTAACATCAGGATGGAGTCTGCCTCATGTCACACCACTCTGAAAGGGTTTCTACTACCACTGCCTGATGTACCTACCTAGAGGCAACTCTTGGAGCTTTGATCTCTGAGCCGGGTTGTTGGGCGTAGGTGGAATCCCCAACTGGCTTCAGTTTGCCCTTGTGGGTTCTCCATGTTACTGGTCTGGCTAGACTGGCTTTCAAATCAAAGAAGGGCTTTTTGGTCGACTTGCCGTCAGGCATTGTGGTGTTCAGGGTACCAGTGAACTTGAAAGGAGTGACTGAAAGCAAATAGTTGTGATTTACAATTTAGGAAGGGGACTTCAGAATGAAAAAGCGTGCCTTGCATTTAGTATCAGCAGAATCAAAATAGGAGATGCCAAGAAGAGGGTTATGCCTTGAAACCATGCTTGTACCAGAACCTGTTCATTTGCACATGGACCCCAACCTATTCTAATATAGTTAGTGGGTATGTTGTTCTTAGAATTTTACTAAATCTTGTTCTGGCTGTGATAAAGGTTTTAAGAGACGTATTTGGAATTATGAAAATAACCACAGGCACTGTTATGGTACTGAGTATGATCCTAGTCAATCTGAGATTCAAACCCATGACCAAGGAACTCTGTAACAGCAAAAGTGTGCATCAAAGAGTTTTGACTCCTTAGACCACTGAGCCACCCACCACCAATTTAAACAGTTAACATTGCATCGAGCCAATGTCCTGGTTTCACATATAAGACCATTACATGGACCTAAACTAAAACTGAACACCAGAATGTCAAGAACAATCCTGTAAATTGTCAGATCTTGAAAGTTTTGGCCCCTAAATTCAAGCTGATTATGACTAAGCAGATATCTTGTACAAATACATCTGTTTCACCTCCGGTTGTCTTCTTAGTGGACATTACTCCCAATGACTTTCTGTCAGCCTTTTTCTCAACTGTGCTCCCTGCTTTAGGTGTCGTCTTCTTGCCAGGTCCCAGTGTGACTGGAGTCTTGGCTCCTGGGTTGGAGTTGGGTGTCTTGGCACCAAAATTAGTGTTCATGTTCTTTGTCTTAAACACACTTGGCTTGAAAGGTGTAGGCCCCGATGGGGACTTGAACAGATTGATCTTAGCATCATTCTTTGGTTTAGGTTTCACCTGAAAACAAAGAAACAACCCTATACAAGAAAAATTCGGAACAATATTATTTGTTGCAACTTTCATCGCCACTTGTTCCAGAGAGAATAAGACTAAGATACTGATGGCTGGTCAATACTGGCCATCTACAAAGTTTGGCTCTAGTGTTTAAGGAAATGATTTCTACCCGATCCACCATCCAGTGATGAATCTGAGTATGTTGACGAGGAAGACATTTGAGAATCAATATTTGAGAAAAACTCTCATCAACCTCCCTAACATGCTCACCATGTTTTCACTGCTTGGAGTCTTCTGATTTCTCAGACTTGTGATGGCCTTCTTAGACTCCTCTAGAATCTGGCTGACCTTGGAAACTGACTTGGTGATGGACTTTGTTCTCTGTCTCTTCTTCTCCAAGTACACATCAATGGAGTCAAATTTGTCAAACTCCTTCTTATGGACTTTTGTCCAATCCTTGTTACCTGGATTCAGCATAGCAGACAGTTATAACAAAGTAACTACATAGAAACAATATCATATGTACTGATGAATACATCTGTGTCAAATAGTTGCTGTCAAACAGATATGAGCTAACTGTGTACATGAAACAGGTTTTACGCAGCTCTCAGTCACATTCCTGCAATACCACTGTGGGGCTAACAAGAAATGTGTCTCATGTACACATTGGGGTAATCAACAAGGCAAGCAAGCACTAACCATTAGGTTATCTCACTACCAAACAGAGGGAATATCACATGATATTCACCAGCTTGGATTATACATTGCAGCAATCTATTGCAGGTTATCAACCTCAGACCAACTGACTTGGTTGATGCATGTCACCATATCCCAATTCTTTAGATTGATGCTCATGTTGTTCATCACAGGAGTATCTGATCCAGACTCGATTATTCACACACCACCACCATATAGTTGGAACATTCCTGAGTGTGGTGTTAATCAACAAACAAACTCATCTCGACTTACCCGGAGTAATGACCTTCTGAGATTCCTGCTTCTTCTTGGCCAGGAATGCAGCAAACCTGGGAATCTGCGTACTGCAAGTTGATTTCTCATCACCTCGTGTAGGAGTGCCAGTTTTTCTTGGCTGTGTGAATACAAACCATGAGAAAAACTAAGTTATGGACCAAAATGTTGAATAAAAGCATATTGTAACCATAGTAACAAGAGGCTAGTCAGGGCTGGCCCGAGTGACTTAGTACAACACAAGTGGCACCTCATTAAGATTGCAAGTTTATTAGTTAGGCCTACTTTGATAATTCAAAAGGAAATAAAATGTGGATGGTTCACTTTAAACATTAAACATGGACAGTTCAAATGGGCTTGTCCCCATTTCGCAATGCATTCACTCAATGTCGTGAGTCACTAACCTTTCTGCACCTTCTCATCCAGTGCCTTGAGTAAAGTAGCCTTCCGTTCTGCGCTGTTCATCTCTGGCTTCATGACCCCAAGTATGTCCTTCACACCTGGACTAGTGTCCTTCACCTCCTGGGATGATGGGGTCACATTCATGTCGTCCTTCTTCTCAAATGTGCTTCGACGGATTCTCTTGTTGCTTGGCTCAGCTACTGGTGTAGATGGTTTACTGTCAACCTACAAGAAAACATGCACGGATGTGAATTCGGGTTTTTTCTATAATTTTTCCATGCTTTTTATATATCATGGATCTGTAGATAATTCCATTTCTTTTAAGGACCTACTCTCAAGGGCATAAACATTTGCTTGAAGAAAAACATGATTTGAATTCTGTGATTAAGGGACTGTGATCATCCATAGAAAGTTTAAACTTTATCTGCATTGTGGTTTCGGAGAAGATCTCTAAAATGCTGAAGTGTTTATACTAACAGATGGAGAGATATTTGGATTACATTAGCTCGAGAACATTCCAGTTATGATGTCTTTCAGTGGCATTTAGAAGTTGTATTATGTCAATTTCTCTCACAACGCTTCGAAATTAAAAAAGAAGTTTAATCATAAAAAATATCTTGGACATTCCAGTTATGGTTCTTACTCCTGCAACATATACAGAGCTCCAGATAAGATTTAGCTCATGTGGGTACTGTACCCACTGTATTTTTTTGGAGTGGGTATTATGAATGTTGAGTGGGTATTTCATTTTCCGTTACCCACTGCTTTCAAATATGTGTGTATTTCAGTCACTTTACTCACCTAAGTATTATGTCATTGAGCAAGTTTACTAAGCAGGTATGTTCTGCCTTATGTCATACCTAATCAAAACCAACTTAAATATAATGGAAATGATTTCATAAAAGATTACTCATCCTATACTGACATTACAAAACTTGTCCTATACTAACAGTACAACTTGATAGCAATCGATGTCTTTTTCATTACGCAAGTGAATTCTAATATATTCCGTACGCATTTGTTTTAAACTTTTTGCGTATCTACCTTTTTAAATGCGTAATTGGTACGCAACAATTATTTTTCAATGCGTAATTCTATGCGTATTTTACCCGGATACACAGCTTATCTGGGCCTCTGATATAGAAAGTTACGGATTACCTGTGGTTTGAGCAAAGACCCTGACCGTTTCCTTTTCTGTGACAGAGGTGTTTTGGTCTGCTTGAGGGTCATAACAGTTCTCATCTGAGGAGTCATTGGTGAAGGCTTCACCTGGTCCTTGACCTTCATCTTAGGGGTCATGGGTGATGGCTTGACCTTGACCCCTACCCCGGAGGGTTCTGGAGTATGAGGTGTGGTCTTCTTGGACCCTGCCTTGACTGCAGCTACAGGAGTTGCACACAGTTTCACCTCAGGCTCGGGTTCCTAGAACAGTGGTGGGACATTGAGATTGTGCACAGGCAGAGGGAGGAAGCTGGGTTTAATGCAACATTACAGTTTATGGCTGAATGTGCGAGCAAACGCTGACGTGATGCAAGTCTTAGACATGTACAACTCCGTTGAAAACCACAAGTATGGATAAACGAAGCATCATTTTGAGGGCTGGGATTTAAATAGAAGTACCAAAGAATAAATGTCCTGACATGACTAAAGGGACACAACTCTGTACATAGAATTTCATCACCTTGACATGCCAGAGAACTGAACAACAGCGCCCGAACACCTACTAGTGCCACAAGTTTATACAAATACCATGCTCACATTATCAACATAGTTCATATAGAGCCAACATCAGTGGTAGGATGAATCATCTTTATGTAAGAATTTCTATGTGAAATCTGTCTATGAAGAAAGGCTCGACATAGTGTACTGTGTTGATATAAAACACTTAAACATGACAAATATCTTAATGTTAGTGAGCACAGGTACTGGTAATATCAAATGCTGAGTGGTTCCATTTCTTGTCAAACTATAGCACACCCTTCTCCTAACAACTTCTTACTTTAGAAATAAGGAATGAACATGTGATGAATTTTGTCTAATTAAGGAAGTACACAATTAATGGGTCTTTACCTCCTCTACAGTCTTCTTGGCTGCCTTCTTCCCCCTCCCTCGTCTCTTGGCCTTCTTGGTGACACGCCTGGCTGGCTTTGTCTCCACTTCATCAGTGTCCATACTGTCACTCTGAAACAAAGGGACACAGCATTTAGGACACAATATAACCTTATGACACGAATGTATCTGCAATTCTACACCAAGTACCCTTGGCAGTAAATTTGGCAACAAATCCGTTATTTTGCTCAAAATTGGAACTTTTTGTTAAGTTCTTATTTTCATAGGTACTTGAGCTGGGATCCAAAAATCGGTCTCTGAGCAAACTGTAATCACATATATCACACATATCCCTGGAATATAGCCATGGCTGCTGGGAGTCTAAGTAAACTTTGGCTCAGTATTACTCGTTACAATGCTATGCTGAGTCTAACAAAACCCTAGCAGAAGGTCGCGTCAGCTAACCTTTCAGCGACCTATGACCGTCCAATCAAACGTGAGACGGCCGAACGAATTTAACCAATCAGACAACGACTACTTGTTAGGGTTCAGCGGGACTGACAAATCAGTTTTGGGATTTTCTCTTCCCTGGTCGCTGACACTGATCTATCAACAAACGAAAATCCGCATAAAACACAGATATTTGACCTGCAGTATATACGCTTATGGTTTTCTAATGACATGGTTTATGTTTGCTTATATTTTCGCAAGATGACATCCTTGAATATTGACAAAAACGCTATTTTCAGCGACTGTTTACTCATTGTGTGTATCACTCGGAAGCGATCGTGAGGAAAATAGTATTGGGAATCGTTCGAGTTTTTTAGGTAAAGGTTCATACGGTATGTGCGAATGTTAACTTTCATGATTTGGTAAGCTGTGCTCTGATTGGTCAGTCCAAAAGGTTAGCTGACGCGACCTCCTACTAGGTTTTGTTAGACTCAGTATAGCAGTGTAACGTATAATACTGAGCCTAAGTTTACTTAGACTGAAGCTGCTAGGTTCTTTCAGTGACATTTTCGGTAGCTGTAGGAAAAAGTTTGACAAGGTTTGAAATAGTTTCAGCGAATTATCTTATCAGGGTTGACATGTCATATATTTTTCTTCATTTTCATTCTTAAAGTGCAAAGCGAATGATGAGTAGGATGCTGCATAACCTACTCAGAAGTAATCATCATGATCATGGTAATGATTTCCCTTCACCTGTTATTGAAATACCATGCCAAAGCTTCAGGACTTCAGTGCTCGCGGTAGGTTTTGTACTAGTGCATGCAGAATTTTTTTTATAAACATATAGTCCAAATCTTTGGCGTGTGAAATTTTCATTACAATAACATCATTATCATAACAAGTAATTATATTTACAGGCTTAAACATATGTTCCAGTGTTTGAATATAATGAACGATCATGATGTGTGTAGTATCTGCCACCCTGAAATGCAGGAACACCATTGCTGTCTTGTAGTTTCATAATAAAGGAAAAATTTCTCTCCAGAATTTCCTCCTTGGCCATGCCATTGACTGTGTGCAACATCACTTTTTAATTTTAGAACAACTTGATGAAGATTTAAGCCCACTAATATAGAATCAGTGAGTGCGTCACTAGATTAATCATCTATCCTGTCCGGACTGAAGGCTGTGTTTTTCTTAGTGCATGTATCAGCATCAGATCTACTAGTCGTGACAAACCGTAACATGGACGCCTGCTGTTTTGACATGATGATTGTGTGGTGTCACGTCACTTGTAAATTGCAGACGATAAAGATCAAACAATGTGTTACCCAATCATAGCCCCTGTTACAACGACGCAGTTCAAGGTGCCATCTGACGGCAATATACGTTCTGTCTTTAGAATGGGAATTTCCAGGCTTCGATTAATATTTTCGTCTAGGAGCAGCCTAATATATTTGTTTTAATTGATGTCTAAAGGTATTTTTAAAATTAAGTAGATCAGAATCTGTGCGTGTAAAACACGCATGCACAATATTTTTTGCGTCTTTTTATGATTTTTTTGCATGAAACACGAACACTAGGACTTACACAATGTTTTTACAGATAATGTATTTTTTCATACTCATAGCTCAACACCACTAAAGTTCAGCTGGTCGATGATCGGATATGTGTTGAGTTAAGCATTACAATATACACTTCACATGTATAAATCTTTAGCCATGATGTGAAAATGTTTGAAAATCCCAGTCAGATTCCAAACTGTAATATGCTGGGGTGAATTTAGTGAATCGTTTGAACTCTGATTTCGCGGAAGGGTGGGGGAGGTTTGGGTTCATTTTTTATCATTTGTTACTGTAAGTCCATACCAAAAGGTATAAGAATCTGCAAAGTTGTGTTTTACGTTGCATGTGACCTTTAAGAAGAGCATAAAATAGATTAATCCAATGATGCACATTGAACATGTTAAAAGTCTGTTCTCACAGTTACACTTTCTTCGTGCTTCTGTTGATCATGTTTTGGGTTGGTGTTTCCAGGTTCCGCCTGTTGAGAGTAGTATTCTCTTAAAGCCTTCTGGAGCTTGTCAATCTGGAACATAAACCGACAACCATGAACTGAATAGAACTGTTATTATTATTTGAATATAGTCTCACGATCATGATGATATCAGAAATTTTTTAAAACATTAATATGAAACTGACATAGTGTTGTGCCTACCTGTACACCACTGTAAAAAACAACATTGAATTCTCACAGCCTTATCATACTGTCACTGTCAAAAACTAATGTTGAAGTTGAAGAGACTTGAACATGGTTAGAAATTAACTATTAGCCTGATTAACATGATTAATCAGGTTAAAATACCAGGAAATCTAAGGATCCACTTTCACTAATTCACAATTTTGTCCAGAAGGGCTATTTAGCAGTCATAGCCATGATAACTGGCATGACACTACCTGCACTGAAAAAGATGATTCCATAGCATCTAAATTAATGTAAATAATTCCTATTGGTCTTAAAAAATGGTAAACATCATTGATCACGAAGGGGAACCAATCCTTAATAACCATCATGGTCATAAGGAGTGCTTGATCACAAAGGGGATCCAAAGACAAAGGATAAAGTTGGAGTTAACTACCCTAACAACGACATTAGAACCTATGTCGAAACGTCGCCTCCACAGAATAAAACTGACTAGTGCCCATCAAAGAAGAAACCCTAACCACATCCCTAACAAAACAAACCCAGAGAAATGAATGTTTGAGCATGTTGAGGGACTGAGATAGTGATTCTGATGCTAGAGCTCCAGCCTGAGCCAATATTAGCGTGATTAGCCCTAAGAACTGTGCTAGGTATTACTTCATCATTGTTCCAATATATGTTGAAATCATGAAACATTCAAAATAGAATGACGTGGGAGAAAAGTATGTGTTGTGAATTTGTCTGTGTAGTTTCTAATTAGGAACCTCTTGACAATATCCTTCAACTTTAGCATCCCCTTTATTCGACTAGTGATTCGATTGTTGGTACAGAACGATATACTTTCAGCCAACAATCCAAACGTCAGTAGTGAAGCCATTTGACGATTTGATCAACATCGCAAACTGATCAGCTGAAATTTCTATTTCAAGTGAAACAAAATGCACATACCTTTACATTGGCTTTTATGCCAACACCTTTAGCTATCTTTTGCAATTCATTATATTTCATGTCATCGATATTCTTCAACATTTGTTCCATTTTGTTGGGTTATTTATCCTGTTCCGAAGCGGAAATCATCAACACTGGCAGAATCCACATTCGAAAAGTGTGTCGCTTGATTTGATTGGCTAAGAGAAACTACCTTTATTATCTCCCCTTGCGTTACAATTTGTTCACTCTTAAGTTTTAAATATTATTAAAAAATAATTCCATTTTTTATCACAATGTTTTATAAATGTTTTAAATAGAGTAATATTAATCTCTACTTTACAGTGTATGGAACTGAAACTTAGCTCTTACTATCTACTTTTCACATTCGTTGCCTTTTCCACAGAGGGTCAAGTTTCTACATTACACCGGTATGACCGGAGTCATTGAAACGTGTTGGTGATAGACCTAAGGCAAAGGAAAAAGTTAGCTAGACTCAAAGACAGCTAGGTATCGCCCCTGACTATTGGTCTCTGGCATACTTATATATGACACGGTTATTTCCTACATAAACCTAATAATTCTCCCAAACTGTGGCACAGGATATAAATAAACAATATTCACTGTCAAATTTTACTTTCCACGAAACTCATTATATATATATTAATATTATCGTGAGCTACACGCGTAGCATGATTTCTTTTGTGTCTATTTGTTTTTGTGTTAGATTGCAATTCATCGGTATCATTTTGTTTCGAAAGGACTGTATACGTTGTTAGTTTTATCTGTGCATTTAGATCTATTTAGTTCTTTTTCTGAAATAAGTTGAGTTGAGTTGAGTTGGTCTTTACGTCACATCGGCATTTTTTCAGCCATATAGTGACGAGAACAAGTCTACATTAATAAACATTGTAAGTACAGAGTCAAAATGAGTTTTATTTCTGAAATATTTGAATACGAAAAGTTAATGTCTTGTATATATTGTATACATAGTGTTTCGTAATTCCTGTTTAACAATGGTTTGCATGTACACTGTACATTCTATATGATTATTATAGTGAGTGTTATGTGAAAATTGTACTGCACACGGTATGGTATCTGTGGAAAGAGCAGATCCTGGGTAGTAATTTAAATACAGACAAAGAAAGGAATATGGGAAAATTGGGACAATTATTTTTAAAAGTGTCCATATGTATTAGTTTCAGCTGTCCGAAGCGGGCGCTGAAACTTTTCCCCAAAGCATATTTTCATCTGGGTATTTCCGTTACCATCCCATTGCCTGAACCAGCGCTGTGATAAATACCTGCTTCGCGTAGCGTAGCAATATACAAAGGTAAACTTTTGAATTGTGACATGTAGATCTAAACATTTTGTCTCTTTTATTTTCATTTACGCATAATTCTAAATACAAATGACTCTATCACGATTTTCAGTAAAATGTGACAGGGAAACTATAGAAGAAATATGCACATTTCCATCTAAGGTGGAGGGGCGGTAGGGTAGCCTAGTGGTTAAGGCGTTCGCTCGTCACGCTGAAGACCAGGTTCAATTCCCCACATGGGCACAATGTGTGAAGATATTCCTGGTGACCCGCCGTGATGTTGCTGGAATATTGTTAAAAGCGGCGTAAAACCAAACTCACCCACACTCGCAGGTGAAACTACGGTCACGAGATTGTCTGAGGATTCCGGTTCAGCATGGTTGTTTCTAGGTTCCCATACCCCTGCTCGAGGGTTACACCCCCCACCCCAGCAAAACAAACAAACAAACAAAACAAGACATAAAACAAACAAAACAAAACAAAAACACAAAAAACACGAGACCTTAATTTTCACCACACGCACACATAAAACTGAATTTTTCAGTGTATGAACTCTTGCGCAAATGTGATCGGATAGAAAAATATGGGACCATTAAAATTTTGACTCAACAGCTTTTATACTGCCACTTAGACTGGTTACCATGACTACAGAGTCTTTGTGTTTCAATCTGGCTATAGATACTCATTCCTCTACTGAAAACCTCTTCGTAAGCCTCCGTCAAACTATGCTCCAGTAGACGACTAAAAATAGGTTATAACGTGTTAATAAGTCGTCGCGAAAGTACTATTATCAGTGAGAGGTCAAATGTTAGTCAGGAAGAGATTGGATATGTCAACATGGTACGCTAGACTGTGGTAACCGTAGTAAGCGGTAAATTCAGGATGGCGACGAAAGTTGCAAACGGTGATGTAAAATATGTGGACATGAAAACAGTCAGGGATGGACAAAAAGAGGCTGTGACAAGCCTCACTGGAATGTATATTTTGGTTGCAGCCTTGGTTGCCATTGCATGGGGCCTCGGCTGCTATGGATTTTCATTCCTGTGGGTGTTCTTTCTTGTTTCATGTTTATTTGTAATATGGAAAGCTAAGATTGGTCGGATTATCAAAAGACACTTGGATTTTGAAGAGGCTACTTTACACAGGAAAAGAGCATTGCGTCAGAGTGAAACTGTGGAATGGCTTAACTTTCTGCTGAATAGATGGTAAGTTGATGTTTTCTAGTATTCTTTAGAACAAGTTGTCTTAACAGGTGTGAGATCGGACGCGTGTCGGTAGCTTGTCAACACTGGTGTTGACAGCTTCATCAAGAGCTCGAGAAAATAGTATAAGTGAACATGGCATGAAATATGTGTCTCTTGGTTGATATTTGTCTCTTATATCATTAGTTTTCTCATATATAGGCCTAGTTCGATAATGAAATTAATATTTGTTGTATCAGCATCATGAAATAGCATTTTCAGAAAATAATCATTTCATTTTAAACTATTGTAAATGAAATATATTAATTAGTGTTTGTATGTAGCATTTTTAGCAATGTTAATTTTTTTTGTCACACTGACATCATTAAATGATCCCATGAGAGAAATTTGACATTTAAATAGAGACTCCCTGAAGTGCATGTATCCAGCAGAAGCAGCTTGTGTTTCGTTTTGGCACAGTTGTGTTGATCGTTGTCCCAGCATGAACTGCTGAAATGTACATGCATGACTGCATAACCAGCAGAGCGTCACTTATTGATGTACAGTGAGCGCGAATATTGCTGTGTATAGTATCGTTCCCACCTGTAATCAGGTCAGCATATTGCCTTGATGCAGCACACCTGGCAGTGACAACTCACATTTTCCTCCTGGCCAGTGTTGCTCTCACGTTTGAATGAATAAAGTGTCAGTGCTGTGACATGTCAAAGAGTGTTAGTATTTCCTGAAGCTTAATTAGCTACAATAATATTATGTATTTAAGCAATATTCTACCTCGATCGTGGTCTGTAGCTCTGCATCATTGTGTTTGTCACAGGGGAGTCATTGTGACATTGCTTTTAAAATTTTGTGAATCTATTACGAGGTCATTTGCTGTGTGTCAGTATATGTCAAATCACTACAAATAAATTGTTCTCTCTTTTATGACACTTTGGCATTTAATGTGACAGACTAACTAAAGTAAGTAAAAGTCATACCATGGTATTTGGATATATGTTACAGGATTAAAATGGGCGAAAATGCAATGAGAAAGAATCAGGATAGTGAAATATGTTTTCATCATGAAAAATGTTAAAGAACCATGGTTATATCAGGTATGCAGATCCAAGAAGGACCGAGGGAAAAAATACCAGCGCCTTGAGCATGCACTACTTGTGGATATGTGTGCTATATAAATATTCTATAATAATAATAATAACAATGGATCCATGTTGGAGAGAATCAAGAGAAGATTCATTCAATATCATATGCACAACTTGCCTACATGCCCTCAAGTTGTTGGTGTTAATGTTGACCTTTTGAGATGGCTGTCATGAGTATTTATCTTCAGTTTACAAATCACAAGACATGTATATGTCAGGGTAGAGACTGCGATCTGGTAGAATCGGAAATTCTACCAGTAGAGATTGTAATCGTAGTCTCTACATTTTCCAATTCAAATGGTGGAAGCTCCGATCCTACTAGTAGAGGCTGCAATCGTCTCAACTGGTAGAAACTCCGAGTGATCTGTGGGTAAACAACAAAGACACTTTTTCTGAACAGTACTATGCATTTTATTCAGATATAACACTAGACTGTTTCCACTTCTACAGATATATTAAGGACTAAAATACAAATGTGACTTGAGAGATCATATTACAATAATGTAATTTTCTGACTAAAATTGATATTTTATACTTATCCTGACTCATGCTTAATTGCTTGTCTTCTTCTTCTTGCGAACTATAGTGGAACACTTGAATCCCCTTTTGAAGCTCTATTGTCGGTATAGAGTAATTTCCGTGCAGAGCTAGTGTTGATAACAACAAGATAACAATAAATAAGTTCAATTATAACTGGCAAGTAATAGGAAAACATTATCCCCACTTATTATACTTGCTTGCAATCTCTACTGGTAGAATCGCAGTCTCTACCCTGACATATATATACCAATTGCCTTTCATAGTCAGTCAGTGTCAGAGATATGTCCCAAAATATCTTCATGTTCTTTTTTCGCCTTGCGAGACAGGTTTGTTTCAACATTTTGTGTAATCGGCTTCCAACAATGGCTGACACACAGGAGAAAGTAAAATAAAAAAATGTTCACTATTCTGAAATTGGACATTTATTGTAGATTAGGCTATTCAAATTAGAGTTGGTGATCATATATATTTGAGTGTAGACTTATAATGTACATATAGTGAAGGAAATTAACAAGGGAACATGTAATTAAGTTCTTCGAGAGGCATTTTAGAAGTTGTAAAGATGAAGGAAAACCAAGTTCTATGGATAGTCTACTTCTTTATTGCAATAAGTGCGACGTTTCTGTGTAGGTACTAACACTGAGTAACACTAGCTTGATAACGGTGTTGGTACCTAGTCCGAAACGTCGCACTCATTGCAATAAAGAAGTTGACTATCCATAGAACTTGGTTTTCCTTCAAGGGAACATGTAGTAGTACAGGAAAAGAAATTTACAATTGTGTTCAACACAGATGCTTCATAATAATAATAATGTATTCATAACATGGTATCTTGATATATAGTGTGTCACTTGTTCAAGAAATAAGTGCTGGTCTTCTGAGTGAATTAGTGCAATTTTCTTTTTACTTTGACTCACAAATTGTTCTCCTGTCTGTCCCTTTATTTTCTGCCTTAAGTATATTGTAATACCAGTTGTAACTGTGTGAATTTGTTAGTCACTCATACTTTCAATCTGGCCATGCCATTTATATGGGACAATTGTTCTTATAAGCCTATATCCTTGGTATGATATATTAAAATTGTTCCATCAGCAAAAAGTAGTTCACATTTGTGTAGATGCACTGAAGCATTTGTTGCTATTATAACAGATGCATAATTCAAGCACAAATGAACACGACAAAAATTGCAGTAACACCTGTTACATTTTGCTCTGACAATTGTCAATGACATGAAGGTTGACTGTTTGGAATTTGTTTGTGAGTTATTGACTGAATCTTTCAATTTTAGTCACTGAATTTTTTTTAAATTTCAAGGAATATAATTTCAGTGATGAGTTTTAGACAGTTTTACGACAAGCATTTTATGATTAACATTTCTGCTTACTTCTTTTTCTCCATTTGCATGTTAGGTTGGAAGTTCATAGGCTAGTTGTATTGAAACATTCTGAAGGTGATTGGGTTTTTCAGGCAGCCAAGTTAATGGGTTAAAGATTTCACTTGTCACTCCAAAGTCAGGGTTCGATTCCTAACATGAGTGAAATGTGAGAAACCATCAAGGCTCAAAACATTTCTTACACTGACCTGTCCTGGATTGCAAGGCGATTTTGTTTTGTACTGTTCTTGCATAGTTGCAATATTTTCACTTGACATCTCAAATTGTTACAATGTTATTTTTTAGTTTTCAGTTATTTTAAAAATGTTTTGTAATTAGGGTTGAGGGTATTTACAGGGCTTTTGTATTCTTGTTAGTTGTTTTTTATATTCCTAAATTTGAAAGTTGGTAACAGACTTCTGATCTCATTTTAGATATGGCATTCATAGCAGCCATTTTGAAAATGTAATTCATGCCCTTTGTGAAGGTATTTTCAGAATTATCATAAAATGAAATATGAAATGCTGTTAGAGTGATATAAGACAGAATGTGATTTTGTTGTTGTGTTTTCACCCTGCTATGGGGGCGGTGGGGTAGTCTAGTGGTTAAAGCGTTGGCTCATCACGCTGAAGACCCGGGCTCGAATCCCCACATGGGTACAATGAGTGAAGCCCATTTCTGGTGTCCCCCTCCGTGATATTGCTGGAATATTGCTAAAAGCGTAAAAACCAAACTCAGTTAGTCAGTCAGTCACCCTGCTATGGGTATTATGAAATATTCTTGCTGTTTTGTTTATAAAAATTTTTAATATTTTGATATTTTCTTGTTTTCCCTTTTATTATGACATTTTACATGAATATGATGGTGCAAAAATACCAGTAAAATCCAGGTGAACTCTTGACATTATTGACGCATGTGTCTATAATGTGCCTTGACTGTACTTAGATCAAATTTGCTTTCAATAAAACATGCTCTGTTCAGGTTGAAAAGCACACCTTGAATAGCCTTGGAAGTTTAAAATAGGATTTATTCATTATTTGTAACTTGCTTGCCTTTGATGGGTTGTGAGTACAGGTACTGTGTGACTGTGCAATGAAGTGTGTCCGGACAGGCATGAGCGGTGTGTTCGTTGGGGTGTCTTGTCTATCATGTAGAGCAGGCGATGAGGCAGGGATGCTACACTCTCCATTCTTGCTTACTGAACATATGGCGATAGCAAAGTAGACTAACCCTTAGTCTCTGAGTATATATAATTTTCATAGAAACAAATAATTCTGTTTTAAATTGAAAAGGAGCCCAAGTGAGATGGGAGATTCAGAACCTGAACCTGAGGAAATCTAGACTTGCTTCATTTAGGCTTTAACATTGCAGAAAGGACTGTGCGGAAGGAAATTTAATGCAGTTCAAGGACTGTGAGAGAGACTATTTGAAAAGCTACGTGGTTGTCTGTAGAATGTTTAAGTGTATTGGTGTTTTACTTATCTTAAAATGGAACTTGTGCACTTTCTATTTCTATAAATAGATTTCTTTTCTATAACGTATTTTTTAATGTTACCTTTAGTAGTATATACAATGGGGGTTCTGGATCACTTTCAACCAAAGCCTCTGCAAAGCCTTATTTCACAAGTAAGGCTTTGGTCGGACCCTTAGCTCTTGCTACCATTACCCCTACTACAAAAGTTGGGGGATGCGAACGCACCTCCTAGCCGCGCTACCGGGGGCATGGCTGGAGTGTGTTGGTATCCTGGGATTGCACCATCCAATACTGGGCTGCGTCTAACGTGCCGCTATGGCACTATTGTGCCGCTATGGCACTATTGTGCCGCTATACCATGTTTACCTCGATGAAACAGTTTAATGTGAATGCGCCTATGATCTCTTTGGTGTTTGTAATAAAGGCTTGCGGGGCTTTTCACCCCTTGTTCTATGTACTTTTTTTTCATCGCCCCTCG